GGGTGCAGTAGGGAGGGGCATGTTTATCACAAAGGAAATGAAGCACAGAAAGGGCAGAGGGAGAATTTGAAATAGCCCTACTGTACAACCTCTGACAGCTCCATGTCTAACAATGCTTAGATGACTCTCAGATACTGCACCTATGACAGGTGGAAAGCTGTTGTTGCTTCCCCAACTTAAACCAAAATCTCACAGGGGAAGCAGTTATCTTTTATTCTTATTCCCAATGTTAGAGATGACTCGATTTGATGATCTCACCTTGAAGTACCAAAGGCTGACTTCTCAAAAAATGCAAATACCTGCTCGGTATCAAACAAAAACTCCAGCTAGTATCATGATAGCCAAACTGTCTAAATGTTAGTCATGGTTCTATTTTTCAAATACCTTTAAATGTGCAATGAAAGAGAAAATGGTATTTTCTAGAACTCAGTGTCATCTTATTTTATTTGGAAAGATGGGTTCAAAGGCTGAGATTTATTTAGCCTGGTGGAGGTCAGAGGTGGTTTCTGTAGTGACAGAAGCCACTGCAAATCCTACCAATAAAATTGAAAATGAAAATCTGTCATTCATCAACCCAACCTCCCACCCCCAACACACACACTTAAAACCCCTAACTTCCCATTGCTCCTACAATAAAGACCCCAGTCTTATAAGGTCCCACCCACAGAATCTGGCCCCTAACTCAGTCTCCAGCCTCACTTCATTCCCTTTTCCTCCCTGCTCCCTATGTTCTTTATCCTACAGCCACATTGGCCTTCTTATGGTTCCTCAAATAAACCACAGTGCTTCCTGCCATAGGATCTCACATGTGCTGTCCCCTCTGACTACAACCCTCCCACCCACACCTCCACCTAGTTAACTACTGCTAATCTTCAGATTCCAGTTCAAACACCATCACAAAATCAGGGAGACCTTCCCTGGCCCCAGACTCCACATCTAGGACAGGTTCCTCAGTGATATGATCTTACAGAATAGCACTCCTTTCCTCCAGGTCTTCTATCTCATTGTCTCATTTAGAATTATACCCTCACACAATTACTCGGCTAATTCCATCTCTGCACTTAGACCACAGGCTTCAGGAAGGCAGGAATGGTGTCTGGGTTTGCTCTCATTCCTATTCCTAGCTCCTAGAACAGTTCCTGACAGATAGTAAGCACCCAATTTGTTGAATACATGGATAAATGAATGAGTGAAAGAACAAAGAAAATAAATTTCTGACTCATTTTGTTTGGGGAGCTTGAAGTTTTGTGGGGTTAAAATGTAGAAACGTTGAGCTAAAAACCCAATGTGCTTGGGTGAAAGATATATTTTGGTGGCAAAGATTACAGAGATTTTTTTCCCTAACCCCTGGCAAGGAGGAAGGGTGGGGATGGGGAGGCAGCCCAGCACCATCAGGAGTCACAGAATACCTGCCAACCTTATCACAGAGGATGACAATACCCAAGATCAGGACTGAGAGTAAATGAAAATTATTCACTTGACAGTCATGAGGAAATGCTGTGGACTTAAAGTTGGAGTATATGCTTGAATTGGATATTTTTCTCCAGGGCCCTAAAGTTTACTAGCTGGAATTATTTTTTAAGGACAATTCTATTTAACCTTTGAAAATGAAGCAGCTGTCTTTTAATAGAAAAGCTACTTCTTATTGTAAAGATAGCACAGAATGTTCTTGGCTTCCTTGGTTCTCCAGAAAAGGAAAGTCAGATATCTCCCTGTGTCTTCACTATATCTTGAGCCCCTGTGTCAACAAAATAGGCCAGATTAATAGCTAACATTTTTTTAGAATTACTTATTACTAAAAGTACTAGCCCATCCTGAGAAATACTAAGTAGGGCAGTCTACACAGATGTATCTGCCCCTCGAGGAGTCATGGGAGGCTTAGGTAGAGCAGAGATGGAAAAGGCCCCAAATAACCAATCTCAAAGCCACTGTGTTCAGAAAAGAAGCCAAGTTTACCATGTACTGAAAAGTTCTGTTCCTCAAAAAGGATCCCAAAAAGGTGTAATTAGCTAGTCAATGTATTCATCTAATATTCCTTCTTGGCATAAGCCCCTGCTATGTCACAGTGAACAGAGGTCCCTTTCTTAAGCATACTATAACTCAACAAAAAAAGTAAGATCTGGAAGACTAAGATGTTGGTCAACAGCCCAAGGCACAGCAAGGGTGTCAGCAAGTTCAGACAGCCCATAGACAATAGCACTAATGTCCACTGAGCGTTTACTGTATGTCAAGTGCTCTACATGTATATTCTCATTAAATCTTCACAAGCTGTGAGATAGATATGATTATACTCTCCTTAGAAAAGCTGAGTAACATGCCCAAGTTTGTAAATTTAGAAAGCAGTTTCAAGCTTAGTTCTATCTGATTCCAAAGCCCATGCCTCTAACCTCTGAGTCCCTGGGGCTTGCAGAATTCAGGGAGAGGAAGAATTGACTGTGGTACGGAAGGCAAGGCTTGATGAGGGACAGGGTTCTGAGCTAGGCCTTAAACAGGCACAACTCTGAGATAGGGAGAAGGGTCAATGCATGGTGCTGTGGTGGAGCGAGGGTGTAGAGAGAAGACAGAGAAGAAAGGGAAAAGAGAACAGAGCAAGGCCAGTTGCTTGGATACAGCCATCTTGGGGGGAGGGATAAGTGAAGACACCTGCCTCGTAGGCTGTAACAACTTGTCCCACCCTTCTACTTTCCAATAAAATATTATATTCCTACACAGAAAGACTTGAAGAGGGAACTGGAAGAAGTGCTGAGTGGAAGAGGAGTCTTGCCTTCCCTTTGCTCTCTTTCTGCCTCTCTGCTCTCTCTGAGTGCAGTATCACAGGCACTCCACCCATCTGGTACAAAGTCAATGCCACAAACCTTTTGAGTCCTACATCCCAAGAAGAGTAGCATCTTCACCTGAGGTTGTCAGATAAAACCTGGCTGGTTCCAAATGGAACTGGAACTCCACTCCTTCTACTATGGGCTCTGAACCAGAGGGGTTGGGGGTGTGTGTGTCAGGCTGCAGTTATTCTCCCCACTGGACAGGCAGCCTTCCAAGGAAGGTAGCTCCAGTTTGGTGGCACAAGTAGAGTTTCGTGCTTAAGCCTTACTCCCACTAGGCACACCTCGTTTTACATGGACATATGTTCACTATACAGCCTTTTACTCATTCATTTGTTCATTCACTCATTCAACAGGGAATTAGTGGATGGCCATTTCAAGCCAGGGACTATGCTAGGTGTTGGGGGAGACAAGGTCAAACAATCTGTGGCCCCTAACCTCAGGAGCTGTATACTCTATTATTGCTGATGAGCACTGTTGACATGGTCAGGCCGTAGTAACTATAATGAATGTTAGGATAAAGAGAAGCTCAGGAGGCTCCGTGGGACTCCCAACTGCTCACACTGCAAGCTGCTTGCCTTGTTCCTTTCTGTACCTCGAATGCCCATCACTATGCCTGACACACAGCTCGTTAAATTTTTAGTGAATTAGATGAGGATACTGAGCCTGATTCCCAGCTCTGTCTCTCTGGGGCTTCTCTCCATTGGTTTAAGCCTGGCATCCTAAGCCTGGATGAGGTAAGGATACATGGCATTCTTCAAATAGATCACAGTATGTTAGAGTGGGGAGAAACTGGACAAATTTGTCTGTATCACCTCCATTCCCTCCTAGACATCATGTCCCCATAGTTTAGGTCCTTCATGAACCACTTGGAACTTCATGCGTTCCTAAGTCCTCCTCATCCTGGATGCTCTCCTAAGAATATGCAAAGTTGGTCCATGTCCCAGTTAAAACTCAGGAATCTAGACCTTGATGCAGAACCGTGACAGCTCCAGCTGGCTTGATGGCAGGGGACCACCTCCTCCTCGAAATAATGGGCTGTGGAAACAGCAATCTTGGCTTCCAACACCACCAGGGTCTCCTGTGGGCCCTGGGGCCCCAGGGAGGCAGCGCCATTCAAGGGAAAGGTGAGAAAAGGGGTGGAGAGGTCCTCTGAGGAGGCTGAGAAGTGACTCTGCATTTGGGGGATAGTGATCCTTGAGGTACAGGCATCTGAGCTGACAGGAAAAGGAAGGGGTAACTAGGAGGCATGAGGCAACCGCCCCCCCCTCAAGCAAGGCAGGCTAAGTAAGGTCCAGAAAGAGCCTAGACAGAGTCCCAATTCTTCAGCCAGAAAGCACTTCAGAATCAATTCAGAGTGGTCTTGGGACATGTGCAAAGCCCTTCAGCCGAGTAGTAGCAGGATGGGGTTAGAACCAGGTCTCCTGATTTCCACCCTTGACTTTTTTTCTCCTCACACTGTTGCCTCCTAGATATGGGTCTCATGGGAGAGTTCTTGGCCTGTCACATCCTAGAAATCTCCCTTCACAGAGGACTCCTGCTTCTCAGGCAGGGCAAGGCTTTTCTGGTTCTGATGGGTGGCCTTTTTAACCCTCCAATGCCAACTGTATTCTTGTCTCTATCCATCCCCTTCCTCAGAAACATCTCATGGGGTCTTCAGTGGCCACGTGATGGGCAGCAGACCTAGGGACAGTGGGCACATGTCTTGGCATCTGGGCATGCTGATCCTTTTCTCCAGAGAGGTCAGTGTGGGGGGAGAAGGGAGTGGAATCCAGTGACTTCTCCCGCCCTAAGAATTCCTGCTCTCCCCCTCAGTCTGACCCTCACTCTGCTGGCCTGGGCCACAACAATGCCCACAGGCAGGGCACTGAGAAAAGGAGGGAGACCTGGGTTTGCCCTTTTTCTTGGCCAGGCACCAGGAGCAGGAGCGCTGCCCACCCCCCCCCCCCCCCCCCCCCCCCCCGCCGCCCCAGTCATCTCCACTTGCTCCTCTCCCCCTCTCACCCGCCTGTCCCTCCGGGCTGCTCAGGCGCCACCACTACTGTCCCCAACCCGCCCAGCCAGCACGGGCAAAGGACAGCGTGACTCACGGCGCTGCCACCAGCCCACGGCTTGCCCGCGGCGTATAAAGGCTGCCCGGCGGGAGGCGGCGAGCCCTGCCCGGCCCGAGGCGCGCAGACCATGGCCAGGGGCGCGGAGCGAGGCCGCGGGAGTGCCGGCTGGGGGCTGCGGGGAGCGCTGGCGGCGGTGGCGCTGCTGGCGGCGCTCAGTGCTGCGGGGACGGTGTTTGCGCTGTGCCAGTGGCGTGGGCTGAGCGCGGCGGTGCGGGCGCTGGAGGCTCAGCGCGGCCGCGAGCAGCGCGAGGACAGCGCCCTGCGGTCCTTCTTGGTTGAGTTGAGTCGCGCGCTGCGCCGGGCGCCCGCGCCACCCCTGGACCCCGCCAGCGCCGCGCGCAACAAGCGCAGCCACGGCGGGGAGCCCGCGCCACACATCCGCGCGGAGAGCCACGACATGCTGATGATGATGACCTACTCCATGGTGCCGGTAGGCGGGGGCCCGGCTCCCCGTGGCGCCTCCGCCAGGGTGGGCGGCGGGCAGTGAGGGGAGAGAGGCCCAGACGCCCTGTGCTCCCCTGGCTAGACGGCGAGGTGCAGAGAGAGAGGGCCCTGGGTGTGAGCCCGGCTGGGGACGTCACCTGGGCAAGCACCTTAGTCCCCCGAGGTCCGTTTCCTCCTCTGTTAAATGGGGGACGGGGTGAAGGGCTGTCTTCCACCTCTGGCATCTTTGGGTCTGCAGGTAAATGAGGGGCGTAGGCAGTGTTTTTAAGAGCCTACTTTCCTTCCTAACTTCGGACAAAAGTTTTCACAGTCTGGTGTGAAGGGAGCCACAGCGGCTCCGGGCTCTGCCTGTGCGACTTGCTGGAGCCCCCTGAGAGCACGGTGAAGACATTTCTGAGAGCGCAGACTTCAATAAAAGGATGCTTTCCCGGGCTTCAGCGAGTGGTCTGGCTTTTCACCTGGCCTCGGACCATCCTCATGAGATTGGTTGAAGGGAAAACAATCAGCCCTAATTTTACCAATCACCTGGAACCTTGGTGCTGAGAACGTTGCTTTTGGGTCTAAAGCAGTTCCAAGTGGAAGAGATCAAAATAGAGAAATTTTCTTAAAAACCCACTGTGAAAGCTGAGTTTCTCATGTGGGCTCCAGCGGGTCTATGGAACTCCAGAAATTACCAGTGTGCACTCAGGGGGCGTGCGTCTAGGGGAGTCGGTGGCTTTTCATTAGATTTTCATTAGATTTGCACTCCCCCAAAAAAGGTTAAAGAAACTCTGCTCTTAAAAACGTCTTTAAAGCAAGGCCTCAAAAATCTTTTTTTCCAGTTTGAAGTTTCTTTGCTTTTGCTGATTTTTAACTCAGTAATTATCTAACAATTACATTTAGATCACATTGCAGCTCCCCATTCCGTTTCATTATCCATTACAACCGCACTGGTCTTATTTTATTTTATAATTACCAAGATTTCAGTTCTGGCACCCCAAGTCAAGCGTGAGCCATACTTCGGAATCCTAGGTATTTGAAGATAAACTCACTTAAAGCTTCTGCATCATAAAAGCTTTTAAGTATCTTATATGAGCTGAAATGCTTTTACAACTACATCATGGGAGTACTACATACTGCAAATACATCTTTTGAGAGAGATCAAATTTTCCATTCCTGGCTTCATTCTTTTTTTTTTTTTTTTTTTATCTGTGTTATCATTTAAAAATCTGGGCCCAAGCAAAAAAATTTTAAAAAGACCTCTGTAAAAGGAAGAAATCTCCTTTCGGGGAATTTACTCTTTCTCTTATCTCTCTACCATGCATTTTGAGGGTTTTTTGAAACCCTTGAAGAAGGATGCATCTGAGCATCAACATTTTATATTTTTAATCCTGCTTTTAAGGTAGAAGCTTGTGTATTGCTGCTTGTTCAGTCACTAACCCAAGAGAACAGAGAGACCCATTTCTGTGTCAGTCGGAAAGCTAGATTTAACGATCACCACCTGCTCTGTTATAGGTCAGAGAGCAGAAAGATCACATTTGTCAGGCTGAGAAGCATTCATAGATTATCACCAACTCATACCCCTCTTGTAATGGGCATGCTTTGACCTTACCGCCTCACTGAGGGAATTTCCATGCAGGTCAGGAGAAAGTGGCTGTCATATTGTTGGCTTTCCTGTTGGGAGTAGTTCTCAAGCAGTAGGCGAGGGGGTCACCTAGAAGCATGTTGAAATGCAGATTCCGTGGTCCCCCCCTCACACTTCTAAAATGATCATCTCCAGAACTGTCTTCCTTAAGAAGTCCGAGATCACCCTTCCCCTACCTTCCCAGCCTCTTGGTGAGTTAGATACAGGGGGTTCCACAGGCCACTTTGAGAAAGCTGCTCTAGATCACTGCTTCTCTACTGTAATATGCACGTGAATACCTTGACAATCTTGTTCAAATGCGGAGTCTGACTCAGAAGGTCTAATTTCTGGCTTGAGATTCTGCATTTCTCATAAGTGCCCACTTATACCAATGCTGTTGTTTTGAGGACCTCACTTTGAACAGCATGGTTCAGGAGCAGGGGTGCACATTGAAATCACATAGGGGCTTTCAAAATGACTGATACCTAGATCCCACCACCAGAGATTCTGAATTAATTGTTAGAGGTGCAGTGTGGCATGTCTACCCACTGGCATGCCTTCCTGCTGACAGTGAGTAGCATTAAGCATCTCACTCCCACCAGGTATCTTTTGAGGCCTCCGCTTCAAACAGAGGAACCAATTTTATTGCTGAAAGCCTTTTACTTTATTCTAGCATCATACATCTTTGCAAATTTTTCTCATTTTTACTCCCTGTTTTTCTCAGAATAGAGAATTATTCACATGAGGAAACAATGTTTTAAAAAACACTTTCAGGGGGCGCCTGGATGGCTTAGTGGTTAAGTGTCTGCCTTCAGCTCAGGTCATGATCCCAGGGTCCTGGGATGGAGCCCCGCATTGGGCTCCCTGCTCAGCAGGGAGTCTGCTTCTCCCTCTCCCTCTCCCTCTGCCCCTGCTCGTGTGCACTCTCTCTCTCAAATTAAATAAATAAATCTTTAAAAAAAGAAAAAAAACACTTTCAGGGGCACCTCTAGAAGAAAAGTTGCTAAGAGAACTGTTTAGTATACATTGTGGAGGTGGGTGTGCAGACTTCTTTTGGTTGAAGTCACACCTTTCCCCACCCTGTTATACATCACCAGTAGGTTTTCAATGAGTATGAGATCAAAGGTCCCCCCACTGTGGTTCCATGTCCTTAGAGACCTAGGAACAAAGAAATAAGCTGTAGGCAGACTAATGTCAGCATTTCATAAAGTCTTCCAAATGGCTCATTTATCCAAGATGAGTCTCCTCAAGCTAACCGACCCTTCAAAGTTCTGTGCTTTTGGCTGAAAGTATATCAACTCAGCATGGTAATTTTGGTTAGCATTCTGCCCAAAAACTGGTTGTTAAAAGGGCAAAAAATAAGTAAGTGGATACTTTGGAGAAAAGTAATAAGGACCCTGGGTACCACTGAGCTAGACCAATATTGGGAAGCCATCTGCCAGGACCTCCTGCAGGAGAGGGAGTCCTGTCTAGTCCCCACCTCACTTCCCACCACCCCCATATCTCACTTGTCTTCCCATCAGCTGCTCTCTCGTCCCATTTTCCAGGTCTTATACTTACTGATGTTCTGGTAGCCTCATCATCCTGTCCAAAATCTAGGGTCAAGCTCCCAGTAGGAAAAAAAGTTTTACTTCTCACAATGTGCATCTTTTTTTTTTTTTTAAGATTTTATTTATTTATTTGACAGAGAGAAACAGCAAGAGAGGGAAAACAAGCAGGGGGAGTGGGAGAGGGAAAAGCAGGCTCCCCCCCTGAGCAGGATCTTGACCTGAGCTGAAGTCAGACGCTTAACAACTAAGCCACCCAGGCGCCCCTCACAATGTGCATCTTAACAAGCTCTAAATGGGTTGAAGATTTACATTTTTAAAAAATGAAACCCTAAAACTACTGGAGGAAATATGGTTAAATTCATTTTTAATGTTGGAATGGGGGAAATCTTTCTTTCCAACAACTCAAAAACCAGAAGCAAAGAGTAAATAAATTTAACTACATTTTAAAAAGCACACACAACAGCAAAATACCTGGATGGCAAACAACAGCAAAAACAAACATACAGCTCATAAACATAGGCAAAAGACAAAGGACAAACTGGAAAAAAATATTTGCACCTCATATCCTAGATACAGGGCTAACCTTCTGAATATATATAACAGTCCTATAAGTTTATAAGAAAAAAAAACAAGAATTTAATAGGAAAATCAGCAGAAATAGGAATCCAGTAGGAAAATGGAACACAGTTCTCAGAAAAAGAATTACAAATGTCTCTAGGTAAACATGTGAGAAAAGATGTCTTGGTTTAAAATGCAAATTACACCTGTCCTGAAATATAATTTTTACCTGTCTGACAAAACTACAGAAGTTTGACCACACATTCTCTTGGTGAAGTTGAAAGGAAATAGACATGCTTTTGCATTGATGTCTGGACCGCAAAATGTACAACCCATGTGGAAGGCAATTTGGCAGTACCTAAAAATATTACAAATATATTTACCCTGTAACCCAGCAATCTCACTTGTGGGAATTTATCCTGCACGACAGGCTTTATCACCTATGAAATGACATATACACACACTCATTGTAGAATATGGGTAAGAGCAAAAGACTCTTCACAACCTGTGCCCGTCAATATGGAATTAGTTTAATAAACCAACCTATGCACTTACGGGGATAGGTAGCTGTAAAATGAGAATGAGGAAATTCTCTATGTCCTGTTATTGGAATAATCCTTAGGATATATTTTAAGTGAAGAAAGCAAGACAGAAAAAATATATATATATTGTATTACCTTGTGTAAGGAAGAAGCGGAAAAATAAGTGAAGATATTACAAACGTGCTTTACTTAGGGAGGGTGGGGGTGAGATGAGAATGAGCCTCTCACTGTATAGCTTTGTGCATCATGTTGACTTTTGAACCATGTGATTGTGTTACTGTAATTGTGAGTGAAAAGGCCCTAACCGCAAGTTTACATGGCCACTGGCCCTCGACTGGGGGGCCGTCGGGTGTGGCAGACTATGCCAGCCTGAAGTTCACGCGCTGTCTTGGGGCGGGGGGTGGGCTTTCACTGATTGTTCCTGTACAAGAGCAAGAGCTCAGTGTGCCTGATCTTTTGATTTTTTTTTTCAAGAGAAGTGAAAAAAATCTGACTTCTTTTGTGAAATCTCTTGGCTTTGAAATATTGACCAAAAAATTCCAAACAAATGTTTTTAACTGGCTGAGTGTGTTGGCCAAACAACACTCATATTGTTAGGGGCCATGCTAGGACTACCAAGCTTAGTTCCCAGCAGTCTCATCTTATAATCATGGGTGGTTTTGAACAGAAATGGCTTTATTCAGCTCCACCACATCACCCTCCCCCACGTAGTTCCCACCCTGGTTCTGCAAGG